CCCCCCTTATAACTTAAATAGAAATAGCAAAGTTTGAGAAAAGAGTATAAAAAAATTTCAATTACTCAGCTTTTTGGGACAAGATTAACATGGTATGGTACCAAAATATGGGATTTCTCAAAAGTCATAACAGGTCAATAATTCTTTTTTTTTTTAGCTTCTGCGTTTTAGAAAAAATTATTATTATAGATTTACGTTGTTCTGACGGCATTTTAGGGAGCTGTGCTGTTAACCTAAAGGCAATCCTCCTCTGCCTTGCAGTTTGAATCTTATTTGGGTATTTTTCTATATTTATTAGTGTTCTTGAAACTTTTGGGTAAGAAAACATAGCCTGATATTTGCTATTTTATTTCTATTTAGTAGCTTACTGGGAGGATAAAGTGAATGAATGTTTTGTTGGGAAAACAGAGAAAGAATAAATACAACAAAGATTATTATTATCCTTTGATACAAGAGTGAATAGAGTATCAAAATAAAATGAGTTGGTTAAATTGAAATTAGACCCGACGTTTTTCATTTTATAATTGATATTCACCCCCCTAACATTATGTGTCATTCTATATAAGTTTCTTTACTAAGCTGGCTAATAATGAATGCCATCTCTCAAACACTAAGTATATTTTTTTAAATTATCTATATTTCACTATGGTGAGCATGAGAAGAAAGATGGGAATTCTCCTTTCCTGTGATTTACAGCCCCTGAAACCGAAAGGAGGATCAGCTATGAGTTGATTCAATGAGTTTAATGGATTTAAATTTGAGTTTTGAGGACCAATGGGTAACATCATGATAGATGGACGAACGATTAAAATTGTTAATAATTTCATCTTGCTTGGATCCACAATCAACACCTTTGACGCCAGTCAGGAGATAAGGAGAGATACTGCTATGAGTAAGACTGCTATCAGGGATTGCTCTCCAAAATACTGAATAGCAATGATGTCAATTTGAAGACTAAGTTGTACCTGATCAAGTGTATGGTCTTTTCAATCAATAGCTATACATCTAAGAGTTGGACAATGAATAAGGATAATAGAATCATTGATATAGTTGATCTGTTGTATTAGAGAAGAATTCTAAACATCTCATGGACTGCAAAAAATACAGATATATCTTGGAAAAGATGCAAGAGAGCTCCTTGTAGACAAAGTTGGTGAACCTTTGTCTTTCATACTTTGGACATTTTGCTAGGAGAGGCTATTCCTTGGAAAGGGATATCATGCTTGGAAATGTGGAGGTTCAATGAAAGAGAGGAAGACATAGTGACTGCAGCAACGAACTCAGCTGTATTAAAGATAATGGGGATGACATAGGATAGGACATGACTTTGATCTGATGTTTATAGTGTTGCTGTAAGTTGAATTTGAATCAAAAGCAACTAACAATAACATGGTCAAGAAATCTTTAGGCAAAATTAGTAATTGTTTTAGTAATCCTCATTAACATCAACTTCTACTCCCTAAATAATCTTCTTTAATAACCCCATAGCATCCTTTAATTGTCCAATATCCACAATAATGTGTTTCTATCAGAGCAAGAATGTACAAAGTAATTAATATTTCAAATTTGTATTTCCTACATCTCTCTCCTAAAACATTTCCTACCTCCAGATATATCAGTTTTCAGGAAAAAGAGAAAATGATGTGATTCGATGAAAGACCACTACTATATTTTTGAAAATTGAACATCCGAGATCATCTGAGCTGGCAGTTTACACCATGTGTTGAGGAAAGTCAGAGGAACTTTAAGTCTTCTACAAATATTGTGATTTCTATTTTTGTTGGTTTTGTTAAGTGACATCTAGTGGAGTATGACTTACAGTGACTGTGTGAACAATGGACCTAAACCAGAACAACAGTACTGAACCCTGTTCTAGCCTGTGCCATTCTCATAAATTCTGACTGGTTGGTACCAGAGCCTTTGGTTACAGTCATTGTGTCAATCCATCTTGTTAATGGTCTTCCTCTCTTTCACTCACTCTTCACTTTTCCAAACATAATATCCTGTTCAAGGAAGAGCCTCTCCTGAAAATTAGCCCAATGTATGTGAGATAAAGTTTTGCCACATTCTTTTCCAGGAAGCTTAATGGCTGTGCTTTCTCCAAGACATAGCTGTTTGTTCATTTGTTAGTTCATAGGATATTCAGAACACTTTTCAAACACCACAGCTCAAAGATATCAGTTCTCCTGTCATTCTTATTCATTTCTCACCTTTCAGATGTATAGCTAGTGATTGAAAAGACCATGACCTGAAATAGGTGCATTTTAATCTTCAAATTGATGTCATTACTCCTCAGTATTTTGGAGAAGTCCTTGACTGTAGACTTTTCCAATGCAAGACATATACTGATCTCCTGAGTGCTGGTACCAAGGGTGTTGATTGTGAATCCAAGTAGGATAATGCATCGACAATTTCTGTTTTCCCTCTATCTATTGACTGCCTATTGGTCCAGTGGTGAGAATTTTTGTTTTCTTGATGTCATGATGTAATCTAGTCTTTGATCTAAAGCAAATGTTTAAAAGTTGTGTTATCTCTTCCTCCAGTCCTGGCACCATAGTTATGATTATAGACATCAGCTCTTCAAATGATTTTCTCAGGTTACAGATTAAATAGATATGGAGAAAAGATACAACCTTGCTATCCACCTTTCTTAATCTTAAACTACATAGTGTTCCCTTGTTCTGTTTAGATAATAGCTCCTTAGTCTAAGTATAGGTTTTGCATGAACACAATTAAGTGTTCTAGGATTACCATTTTTCTTTTTTTTTTAAATTTTATTTTAATGTGATTTTAACGAAAGTTTACAGAGAAGTTGGATTTTCATTCATTCCTTGTTGCACGTTTTCCTCCTTCCCCCTCCCCCGGTTAAGTTTTTCCTTTTTAGTTGCACATTTTCCCCCCCTTTTCTTCCCTCCTCCCCATGCCCACCAGCCATACAGCACTTGTTCCATATTGCTGTGGATTACCATTTTTCTTAATGTAAGCTATAACTTGTTATGATCCACACAGTCAAATGTTTTACATAGTCAATAAAACAAAAAATAGGTATTGTTCTGGTATACTCTAAGTCAGAAACCATCAGCAATCATATCTCTGGTGCCACGACATCTTTTAAACCCAACTTGAATTCTGGTTGTTGTTGTTGTTGTTGTTATGTGCTGTCGAGTCGCTTGCG